GCGTTAGGCGGTGGGGTGGTGATGCTAGCTGCCTCCCTCTAGTCTTACACTGCTAAATTAGGGACGGCTAGCGCAGATAGCCCTCGTGTAGCTTTGCGCGAAATTCAAAAACAAACAAACAAAGGTATGAAAAAATATCTTATTAATTGCTTTTTACTTTAATTTTTACGTTTTCACTTTATAATGGCCCGTGCCAGACTCTTGACTTTTGATTCAGGCAGAATTTTTATACTGTAGTGAAACTATAGCGCTTCTAATTTTGACTGGTTGTTGGTAAGTGGTTATTTATTACTTGACACTTCAAAACGATATACTTACTTACAGTTTTTTTCTGTACTTTCATTTGCACCCAGACAGTTATTTAAATTTTCACTGCCGGTTTCGCTTTTTTTTACTATATACTGTTAAGCTAACAATCCTTTAATTTTCCTTACTTTTATGACTCTTACAAACCAGATTTTGTTTTCGGAAGTTGTTTGTAAATTATGCAATCTCACCTCCTCCGTCGAGTTAGAATCTGAGATAAACGTAAATTAAGAATTAAAGCTATCCACCACAATAAGCAGATAAAGACAGAAAACTTTACCATGTGCCAGGGTCAATGGAAATCTGTGAATAAAGGTCAGATCTAAAAGGTTAGAATTATAATGGATAATGTCTATGTTAAAGTCACGTCATTTAGTTTAGGATTTTAATGATGCTTTTCACTTTAACTTATGGTTAGAAATATATTTTATTGTCTCTTTTGTTTTATTAGTTCCATACTTAATTAATATTCTGTTGGATACTAGCGTGGGCTGGTTGGATAATTCTGTTAAATTAAGTAGTGTGAATCAGTAAGAAAAAATAATGTCTCTAAGCAAAATGTCATGGGAATTCAGGGAATGTTGACTTCATGAATCATGATTTAGGGATGATAAGAATATATTTGCAAAAGTATAAAGTCAAGAATATCACTGATATATCTTTATACGAATTAAAACGCTGCATATAAACCACGATCAAAGGAAAATTATAAATAATAAAAAGGAAAATATACCAAAATCAAACATGCAGATTCCAATAACTGCACAGGATATGAATAATGGGTAATAAGTCGGTGTACAGTAGAATCATTTTCATGAATTAAAAATTTGTACACATTCAGATGGACTTTATATACATTTTTTTATGTTTGAATATCATAGTTTAACTTTATTTTTTATGTTTTAGTGGTTTAAATATTTTAGTTGAAATACCATGATCGCATAGTTCAGAGTATTCATGGTTACAGGCCCCCAAAAATATTACATCTTTCAAAAACCACCAATGCATTTTTTCTAACAAATTAACCCGGCATGACCAGATGGTTCGGAAACTCGACTCGCAATCTGCGGGTTATGGGTTCAAATCCCCGTCCCACCAAACATGCTCGCCCTTTCACCCGTGGGGGGGTTATAATGTGACGGTCAATCTCACTATTCTTTGGTAAAAGAGTAGCCCAAGAGTTGGCGGTAGGTGGTGATGACTAGCTGCATTCCCTCTAGTCTTACACTGCTAAATTAGGGACGGCTAGCGCAGATATCCCTCGTGTAGCTTTGCGCGAAATTCAAACACAAACAAACTAACAAATTATCCCTCATCAAAACATACCATCTTTGATTGGCGACTCATAACCACACCCCAGGAAGAACTGGCAGAAATTTCTGTACACATTTTTCTTTCTGGCGATATCTAACATCTCTGGTGTTCCATCCAAAGCATCGATATACTTGTAACCCATTGCATTCAACTGTAATACAGTAAAATGAAATGAAAAGAATAGAATGCATATCAATCCACAGTAAATTACTTCGAACAGTTATATTATTAAATAACTATAAACTCGGGAATTACATGATATTTTAAGTATATTTACAACATTATCATATAAGATATGAAATAAATTTCTTTTGAAGCAGTTTCGTAAAATTGCACGGATCAGAAAACTACTAAACTAATTAATTACTACCCTTTCAATTACAGAAAACAAACAGTTTAGTTATTTCCTTGCGCAGATTATTATATAAAATAAATAATCTTTTAAAACAAAGATAAGATGATCAGCATTCAATAAATATTATTGTCCACTAATGTAGGGCCTATGCCTTAAATCTCTTCACATTTGAATGAGATTGAAACGAAGAACATATATTACAAAACAGTTGGTGTCGTTCTTGTTATTTTCTTAGTTCAAAGCTACACAATGAGCTATCTGCACTATAAAACAATAGCACACACGTATTGTACAGAAAAACAAAATTGTGTTGTATTAGGGTTGTACAATATTTTTGCAATTAAGATCTGAGTTCTACGACATAAAGAAGAAGCCGAAAACATTATGTTAATAGAACTGGCCGGCCTATCTTCTCTGCGTTTATAACTGGCAGTTCTGAATGGATAATATCTATTGAACAAAGGAAGGACTATGAAAGTCCTCTCTACATTTTTACATGTATCCCATCGTGTACTATAGTGTAGGGCTTAGAAAGATAAGCACCATCTCTGTCAACCAGTTGATTCAATTGTCCTCAAGGAAAGAAGCTCACGCACATTAAAGGATGAATATGGGTGCACCATTGTTTGTATACTGGTGTCTCAGATATCATTGTCATAAATTTGTGCCAAAATCTATTGGGAAGGATATGAAAAGATGGAAGTCTGCTGAAAGACTTGATATCGGACATTAGTAATCCTTGAAACTTTGAAGCGTATTATGAAACGCAAATCTGACATTAAATCCGTGTTTCAAAACTTTTAATGAGAATTCAAGATTGTTAAGCAACACACTAATTGGGTTGAGGAATTTCACGTACGAGCTGCAGATATAATTTAGTCATCATACCTATTTGGTATGCAAGTATCACAATCCTCTATAGTAAGTATTTCATAGTGTTACAAGTTTTTCTCAAGTTCTAATTTTGGACATATTAAATTTGTTTGAGGTCATGAGCTGAACTCAGCGTGAGGTATTACATTCTGTAACAGGTTCTGGTCACTGTATACAGTTTCATTAGATAGATTTATTGTGTCCATCTATACTTTAAGTATTTAGGACTCTCTACGACTATAACAATGGAGCAGAATTATTCTCGAATACTTGTGATCAAATTTTGTCATTGATCGGCTACAGTAAGGGAAACTGTAAATACAGTTTTGGTGTTTTCAAACAGATCAGTTAATGCCTAAGCTTAGACTTGCTACGAAGTTTCGTTTTTGTTTTCTGTACCATCGTGGATTTAATTTTCATTCTTACATTCTCTTTTATTAAATACATTATAATTCATTTTAATTCCGTACAAAAACTTTATGTTGATTTTATCACTTTTTTCATCGCTACTAGCCAAGTTTCTCTTCGAAGCCTACAGCAAAAACGGCTGGATATAGTGCGCCAAAATCTATGCACAGCTACTACACAAACTCCTACGAAGGTTGTAAGGTTATGTTTTAAGTTGATTTTTGAAAATCGAGATTTCCACCCTCAAAATTTTCTAAGTTCCTTTTCGCCACCAACAAAAACTCTTCGAAGCCATTGAAGCATTGCAGAAAGCTAGAAGCCATTTAAGCACTATTATAATAGCCGAAAATGCTTCGTTTTATTAGAGTAAACAATGTGTATATTAACATACAATGTCTCCAGCCTTATTGTTATTGATTATAGTTTTACAAGCCGCTACAGAAAAATCGGCTATGAATATTCTACTGAAACCTGGACAGTAGTAATGAATGCAGTATTGAGTATATAATAGGGTAGTTTTAAAATCAATTCAAGCGTCTTCGTTTTTTCTCCTTGAAAAATTTCTCTAAGTCCTTTACTTTCTGCCATTGAAAAAATATTGTGTTTTACTAATTAATGCACATTAATAAAATAATTTGTGGAACTTATAGCGCATTAATTGGAAACTGTCAAGCTGACCATTCATCATTTCTCGAGTCGGCTGTTCTTTATTGTTTCTAGAGTTTGCTGTTGTACTTTGTCTCTACATGGTTTTCTTCGACTATTTCAGTGAGTTTTTCTAACAGTAGACGATTACCATAGTAGATTTCTCTACTCTTTTAGTGATGATTTATTCTACATATATTCACACTTCACTAGTAAATAATGGTTGGGTGGGGGAAAAAAGCCAATGCAGTAGTAAACTGTTGAAAAACACGTAACATTCAACTGAATGCATATACACGTACGTATCTTAAAATTTATTCTCTATAAATGAACATAAAAACTTAAAAAACAAGATAATTAAAAACTGATAACTCAAACCGAAGAATAGGGATCATCCAAAAAAATACAAAAACAAGGTGAACAATATGCAAAGATTATATTTTCAAGCCTACAACTAGTGACTCTAAAAAAAGTAAACAGTTGTTTTTGTTGTTTGTTTTTAAGCACAAAACAATACAAAAGATTACACTTCCAGCCTAATTTGTTTACTTTTTAAGAGTTACTGGTTGTAGGCTTGAAAATATAATCTTTCTATTTTGATTCAACTTATTTTTGTACTTTTTTTTGACGATCCTATTCCCCTTCTTTAATTAACAATTTTCAATTATCTTGTTGTAAAATAGTCTTTACCATTATTAGGCAATATCATCTTTAATATATTTTGCAGAAACATAATGATAAAGAACAAATTGAAGAACTGAAATCCTTTAAAGATGGCTCTCACTTAAGAAAAGTTTTGCGATATAAAAAAAAATTACTGTTACGACAGAAGAAATCCTGCGGGAATGAATGAAGAGAGAGTTCCAGGTAATTTATGATTCTGTTTCGAGCTAGTGTGTGTTTTCGAGATTGTGTATATTATAAAAGTAGTTAAGTTTAGAAACGTAGTAATTGTGAAATTACTGTGTACTAAAAGTGTGTATCTAGAAAGAATAAACTGGTTTAATCAAGATAGGACTTGTACCGCTGAAGTTCCTTGGAAAGAAATTCTACCGGAAATTAACAAACAAGCAGGTACGTAACATTACGTTAAAGTTAACAGTATTTGATACATGATATATACAAAATCTGGCAAAAAAAAACAACAGGTTTATAGCTTTAAATACACCATACGGTATTTCCATTACAAAAGAAACAGGCACCATAGAAAATATCTATAGTAACTGTAACTAATTAGTTTACCTTTTCTCCGAGAGCTCCCGTTCCAGCTGCTATGTCTATGATTTCGGCATTTCGTGGTACATTCAGTTTTGCGAAAGCTTCTGCAAATATTTTGGGTCCGTTGTAATCAAATTCGTTTACTTCCTATAAAACCACAAAAGATAACTGTAGAAAAATGCTTTACCTCTATAGATTAAGTTGTTAATTATTCGCTGACAAACTATTCAAAACTTTGATTAAAAGCATTAGTATTTTTTTAAGAATACTTCAAGCTGAAAATATCCAAAAGAAACAAATTACAAGTAAGAAGTAATCAATGAACAGAAACTAATTTGTTCATCAACAAACAATAAAATAGGAATTTTGTTGGTTGTTTCACTGGATGGCAGCAAACGTATTTCAACATACGCACATACATGCGTAGTTTTATTTATTTTCTCCTTTTGTTTATTTACTCACGCAGCTATTTCAAGTTAATCTTGCTCCGCAAGTGGGGTGAAGAGAAATGCGTTTCTGAGAACCCCCGATTTCCTAGAAGCCCCTAGCTAGTTTCGAGCTGGTATCTCTGAAAATTTTACCGAAACACCTACTAAGTCTGAAGTCAAAGTCCATCAACTGTATTCGTCCCATACCCAACATCTCGAACATTATTGTTATATCTCAAAAGGGCGGAATTTTTGTTTAGGGAAGTAATAGCTATACATAAACTATATATAAAGATATCCAAAAATGTTTTTTTTTTTAATTTTGCTCAAAGCTACACGAGGGCTATCTGCGCTATTAGCCGTCCCTAATTTAGCAGTGTAAGACTAGAGGGAAGACAGCTAGTAATCACCACCCACCGCCAACTCTTGGGCTATTATTTTACCAACGAATAGTGGGATTGCCCGTCACATTATAACGCCCCCACGGCTGAAATGGCGAGCATGTTTGGTGGGACAGGGATTCGAACCCGCAACCCTCAGATTACGAGTCAAGCGCCCTAACCACCTGACCATGCCGGGCCATCCAAAAATGAAAACAACGGAAAAGGAAAACTAATATAAACTTAAACCATTATAACTTATACTACAGAGCCACTACTAAGATCAGGCATTTAAACACATATAAACAGCATTTTGCAAAGTTTTTTTACTCAATGTTGTTGTTGTTGTTGCTCATCGACAGAGAGAGAGAGAAAAAAAGGCTTAGTACATTGTTTAAGACTTTATATTCATAATCCTAATATTAATGGATTCTGTTTTGAATCTTGTTCATCCAAACAAATAAAAATTCCTTGGTGATAAAGATGTCACTTCTGTTGGAAATATTTTAAACTTTGATAAAGAAAAATAAGTATAAATGTTTTATTAAAGACTTAAAGAGAACTAACACGAATATCTGAGCAACTGATACACCCAAAATGCCCGGAATAATGTTTCATTACTGCATTTTTATGTTCCATTTCCGAATCGGAATATCGTTTTTCCCCGAATTGGGTTTTCGCGGAGAAATCGAGCCCTAAAAATCTTTCACCATTGTGCATATATAAAGAAAGTCCCCACATTCCTTTCAAGCAACTCAGCGTGGCCCTGTGGTCAAAGTCGGGGGGGGGGGGGTTTGTTGTGCAAGTTGAAATTTGAAATTCGACCTCTGTTGAATTACTTTTGAACAAATCATTTGATAACAGTTAGTACAAAACCCACTGACTACGTCAAATAAAATACTTTTTGAATATTCATATCCAGTTATGCACAATTTACCGGCCCGGTGGTTAGGGCACTCTACTCGCAATCTGCGGGTCGCGGGTTCGAATCTCCGTCCCAACAAACGTGCTCGCCCTTTCAGCCGTGGGGGCGTTATAACGTTATGGTCAATCCCACTATTCGTTGGTAAAATAGTAGCCCTAGATTTGGTGATGGGTGCTGTTGATTAGTTGCCTTCTCTCTAATGTATCACTGCTAAATTAGGGACGGCTAACGCAGATAGTCCTCAAAAAGCTTTTTTTACGAAATTCAAACCAAACCAAACTTCATTTCCCGATGTTTTTTTCTATTTCAGGTCTGTTTGTTTTTATAAATTGTCTTATCAGTGTATCGAGTCTTATCGCTTTTATATTATTTCAGATTACATGATAGACAGACATTATGCATCGAATAATTATTATAAACTCCAAACCTCACAAGATAGAAATGTAAGAACTGTGATTTTAAAACTCTTGCAACAAAACATCTGCACATGATCTAAGTCCGATTGATAATAATATTTGTACATTAATTTGGTCGCGAAACGAGATCCTATAGTGTAACAGTATAAAATGAAATGAAGGATATTTGTAGGGATTTTAGTTACATATTATATAACTGTTAACCCAAGGAATCAACTACATCCTCTACACCCTTCTTAACTGAATATTTTACCATCATCATATAAAGTAACTGAAATCTTAAAACGTCCATGTTATATGTTACCTTCTTAGAAAGTATAAGTTGATTTGAAACTTTTTATGTAATGTTAAAACACACACAAAATAGATAACTTCACAAAAAAGAATTAACACTAGCAAAAATGTTCAACATTAATAAAAGTTTATATTGTCAAAGAAGTTGTAACCTTAGAGCAGGTGAAGTAGGATTTGTTATACCTACCTTAGAGCATGGGAAGTTGGATTTGTTATACCTGATTTATAGCAGGTGAAGTTGGATTTTTCACACTTACCTTAGAGCAAGTGAAGCTGGATTTTTCAAACTTACCTTAGAGCAGGTGAAGTTGGATTTGTTATGCCTATCTTAGAGCAAGTGAAGCTGGATTTTTTATAACTACCTTAGAGCAGGTGAAGTTGGATATTTCATACCTACCTTAGTGTAGGTGAAATTGGATTTGTTATACCTACCTTAGAGCATGGGAAGTTGGATTTGTTATACCTGATTTAGAGCAGGTGAAGTTGGATTTTTCACACCTACCTTAGAGCAAGTGAAGCTGGATTTTTCATACCTACCCTAGAGCAGGTGAAGTTGGATTTGTTATGCCTATCTTAGAGCAAGTGAAGCTGGATTTTTTATACCTACCTTGTCATAGTTAGCAGCCCAGTTTGCGTAAAATGTTTTAACTTCCTCAGGTGGTTTTTCTCTCAGGCATTCCTCCATAAAAGCGTCTACGGTTTTATATCCGAGAACCTTAGAAGTCTTGGACATCTTTCTTCCTTATATTCTACAGTATTAGAAGAAATGAGACTTGATACTACCTAAAAGTCAAGGTAAATATTAATAATATTTTTCGAATATAGTAGTTATAGCCCGATTTATTTACTTCAGACCTTTCGTAGTTTGTCCAATACTACTAATAGAATATATTCAATATTATACACATCAACACCAAGACAAAACTAGCGATACCTGTTATGATACATTTTATGTTTACCTTTTTGTTAGTAACATTTAATATTTCAATCAATGGGCAATAAAATCATTTTTAATAGTCTCGTCCTACTCGTGTTTAATAATTACTGGAATACATATGATTGTTGTTATTTAAGACTCATAACGTAGGTAAATTAATATGTACAATTATAAACGGACTTTTCTCTACGTTAAAATACTTTTATTGCGAGATTTCGGCCCTCTTACCGGAGCCTTCATCGGGCAACATGCACTGAGGTTAACGAATTTTTCGCTCAGTGCAATATTACTGACCAGTCATCAGTAGTCGCAACCTATGCAACTGCTTTTAACCGAAAAGCGGGATTAGCTGTCACAGTATAACACCTCCACAAGTAAAGCTGTAAAATCGTGGAACGAACTTTGGACTTACTCCAAATCGCAAGGCTACGTCTGCAAGCGTGTTATATTGTTTGTTTGTTTTTAATTATGCACAAAGCTACACAAGGGCTATCTGTGCTTTGCCCACCACAGGTATCGAAGCCCGGTTTCTAGCGTTGTAAGTCCGCAGACATACCGCTGTGTCACTGGGGGGCTATTTTAAATTGTAATAATTATTGTTATAAGTATAAATTTAATAATTAATGTAACTTAACTTCGCGCGTTATGTTCAGTATTTTATTATTTGGGAAAACGTACAATATAACATTTCATACAAACAACATGTCAACTTAAAGGTATAAAATACTTGTATTTCTAGTTCAAGAATAAAATTGTATATAATTCTGACTAATTTATTCCCTCTCTGTATCTTTATTCAATTTTATGATTCTTTTTTTGTGATGTTTAATATTTCGATTAACAGCATTTCACGTCACCTTTATAATTATTCTTTTATTGATAGTAAGTAACACAAAGTTAACTTGGTAAACCAATATCAAAGCTAAAATCAAATTGTCTTTTTTTACTCAACTTCGATGTTGACAAAAGAAGAAAGTTTTATCCATATTCAATGTTTGTTTGTTTGTTTTGAATTTCGCGCAAAGCTACACGAGGGCTATCTGCGCTAGCCGTCCCTAATTTAGCAGTGTAAGACTAGAGGGAAGGCAGCTAGTCATCACCACCCACCGCCAACTCTTGGGCTACTCTTTTACCAACGAATAGTGGGATTGACCGTCACATTATAACGCCCCCACGGCTGAAAGGGCGAGCATGTTTGGTGTAACGAGGATCCGAACCCCCATATTCAATGTTCAGTCGCAATTGAGAAGACAGTTTATTAACATAAAGATAAAGCGAAAAATCGAGAAACTTGGTTACTGTTAGTTACAACATTCTAACTAAAATAAATGCATGTGCATTTGATATTACCTTTGGACGAAAGCGAAACAGGATAAAAAATGTGGTATTATAGGTATTCAAAACAAGGAAGTCCTGATTAACTTGCCTATCTCACTTCCTGATGTATTAGAAATATCGTACAACAGACATGTTAGCGTTTAAAATAAACAGAGTGAAAGATATATTTATACCAAATAAATTGCCCTTGTTCATTTTCGTTTTAAATTGATTAAAACGTTCATGTATATTTGAATTTAAATTCAAGAGTTTATACATTTTGCTCATAACCTGATATATAAGCATTTATGCCATGATTCTCTTTTAATTAAAACTTTTTAAACGATGTATAGTTTTAAATATTTCCGACGTAAACGTGTATGATTTGCACTTGAGTTTTTTTTAAGTACGATAACTGTGCACTGAACTATCAAAACCAAAACATATCTGCTTTTACCGAAGGTTTTGCCCGACTCCTTAAACGAAATATAGAGAACTGACTGTCTATTTTTAACGCACTCACAACTGAAAGTGACGACGGTATTAGTACCATCCCGTCTCGAACCTTTGACCATTTGATCCTGAGCTCGGCAAGCAAACTACTAGGCCACACCCAGCCGATAAAGCTACTGAACAAAAAAAAAAGAAAACATGAATGCGGCATAATGCTTTCCACCAACTAGATGTTCAAACATCGAACTCGTTACGAATTTCAATATTAACACATTTATTTATATAACATTTTTTCTTTTCATTCCTTATTAACCTCCACCTCCCCTAGAAACCGGGTTTCGATACTCGTGGTGGGCAGAGCACAGATAGCCCATTGTGTATCTTTGTGCATAACAAACTCCTCCTCCCTGAACAGTAAGTTTGGGTACTTACACCTTTAAAAATCGAGTTTCGGTGCCCATGGTGGGCAGAATGCAGATTGCCCATTGTTTCCCTTTGTGCTTAAAAACACAGCAAATAACCAACTAATTCCTTGTTAAGTCAGACATGAATTAATTATTATGGAAGAACACATACATAACAAGGAAACGTCCATATTCGTGAATAGCGAATGCAAAGAACTTATTGGATCTTTTTTTTTTTTCTTCATTCCGTGATCTTACTTTCAGCTTTAACTTAATAGAAATATTATTATCATGATACTAAGACAATAATATATATTCACTTACTAGTTTTCTGCTTGGCCGTCCTGAATTTTATTCCTTCTGTTTTTTTTAAACTTCTGGTCGTATGTAATATAAACCTGTTCTTTTATATAGAACTGTACATGACCTTCGAACAACATACTGTTGACTGAGAGTTGTAAACCCTCTGGTCATATGACCACGTTATTGACAATTATTCCTTCCTTAGAACCACTCTTACTTGCTGCTTACTTAAATTCTAAAACTGATAAACTTTCCGTCCAAATATCAAATGCTCTGATGCAATACGATTAGGAACTAATGATGTACAACCACATCAAACATAAGCAACCCCTATTCACATGTTTCACATGGAAGATTATTATACGTTAAAATATGATCAGACAAGTTAATTAATCACGTAAAAGTCTTTAAATTCTTGTTTCCTGTAAACTTCGTATTGTGACATCTTTATAAAATAGCATAGCTAACGCAGCATCTTTTAAAACCAACATTTATACTTAAAACATGGCTACAAAACACCATGATACACAGTGTGGAATTAAATAGTACTACTTTCCATCGTGTTTTTGTGTAATGAGTGATACAACATATTGTTACGTCTCCGTTTGTTAATTAACTTTCTGTAACTTCGTTCCGACGAAAGTTTAGCGACACAAGTCCTTACTTAATAAAACTGGTTTATTCTTTCCGAATATAACTTTACGATACACTTAATTTCAACAATCGCGCTAAAACAAACGCTATAACAACGAACGTTAACTTCAACAATACGTCTCTCTCTCTGACTGCAGTTCAATTACTCATTACCTACACACACATTATTGTCCCGTCACGTTGTCACCCTCTTATATATACCAGACTACCCTATATCTAGTAATCTCCCGACAATTCCCGAAGGTTCGAGAGAACGAGTCACGTGACCTCGCTGACTCAACAATATTATACTGTAAGTTGTTTGTCATGTTTAAGAAGCTCCGAACTGCGGTAGGCAAAGTCTTCAATCAAAAACAAAATAGCTAATTAATGGGGAAATTATAGTGCTAAAAACAAACACATTCTGATTAAAAGAGTTTGTTTGTTTTTAAGCACAAAGCTACACATTGGGCTATCTGTTCTCTGCCCACCTCGGGTACATAAAACGATTTTTAGCATGAAAAGCCTTCAGAGACCCAGAGTTATCGCTGAGCTACCAGAAAGCTTGATAACAGATATATATCTTATGTTTTAGACATCATAGAACATAACCGTAGTTTTAGTATATATTCCACTCGTAAAATACCTCTTTGGCAGCATGAAGCACAAGATAACGATATTCATAGTTTTGTAACTTTTCAGAAATAGTCATTATACGGGGTAAATATATAATTAATTAAAAGTTGATTTTCAGAAGGTAACAATAAAACTTATGATCAGGGTGTATGTGCCATCCAACCCTCTTAGTTCTAGGAAGGAGTAAACATTTACCAATTATTATTTGTGATGTATCACAGTCATTTGGTATAAAATGTCACACAAAAAATCATGTTTAAAAATAATATGATTATTGACGGACGACTAAAAGAAATCGTAATATTCAGTGTGAAAATACACAGTTTGAATTTCCATTGTGTTTTATGTAATAAGTGATACAACATACTATATTATAAATTGTTTATTAGTTTGTTTGTTTGTTTGGAATTAAGCACAAAGCTACACAATGGGCTATCTGTGCTCTGCCCACCACGGGTATCGAAACCAGGTTTCTTGCGTTGTAAGTCCGCAGACATGCCGCTGTGCCACTGGAGGGCAAATTGTTTATTAACCCTGGTCCAATAAGAAATATGGCGTTTCTAAGGGCAGCAAGCAAGTGCTTGAAGCAGACGTAAAATAATTAACTACTAGGGATCTGAAAGTGCTGAATAGTCAAATATATTCAAAATTTCGCACAAGAAAAATTAAAAGCTGACAACTCAGTACAATTTAATCTAGATATTTGGTTATTATATATCTTAACCTTAAACTCTGACTTTTGTGCTGCTTGTAATTTGAATTTGTGACACCACCATGAAACATTATAGTGAAAACAAAAAGTTTCGAAATACCAAATTATACATCCCACGTTGAGAACCACTGATTTAGATTATTGGATCCAAAACTGTCACAGAATATGGTAGACGTAATTTCAGTTTAATCAAATATTGATCCGTTACTATAGCCGTTTCAAGCTGTATAGAGGATTCTAAATCCAGATGAAAATAAAATATGTTATCTTTATTTATACGTCCCTAATTTAATTAGACTTCAGTCTAATCAGACATTGATCACTTAAAATGATATTCGATCTATTACTATAACC